AGTTTTCAGGCTGAAACGACCGGGGCCTGTAGCTCCTAAGTTTTAGGCTTTAAGGCTGAATGTCCGGGACGGGTCCTACAGGGCCCGTGTGGCTATGCAGTCTGCCACACTCAGGGTCTTCATTCCTGGCCATTGATATCCATGATCCATTGATATCCATGATCCATTGATTCCATTCACAAAAAAATTGAAAAAATGAAAAAATGAAGAATCCAGGTAAGCGTCCTTCGGGACATCCGTTAAAATTGGAACGATACAGAGAAGATTAGCATGGCCCCTGAAAAAAAAAAAAAAAAAAGAATCCAGGTAAGTGGGACCTTGCCCCTGAGCTCGAGCACAAGATCAATTACTGCATACCATGAGATGCCCCACTCATGGAATCAGGGCATAGTAGCATACACACACTAGGACATTTTCGACTGAGCTCTGGACGTGATTTCGGTTAGATGCATCCGCGGGTGTGGCCGTAATTGCGGTCAGATACATGTCGAAAAGTGCTACTAGGGCCTCATCTCGTGCGAAAACCTTGCAAAGTTTTTGGAAAAGGAAAACAAAACAAAGGTGGGCGGATGGGAGAAAGGTGAAAAAAAAAACACAGGAAACAATGACCAAACAAAAAACGAGGAAAAACAAACAGGAGAAATCACCCCTTATAGCGCATTGGCTGCAGGGGGCAAAGGATGGTCCGCTGCGCGCTGGGGCCGGATCGATGGGCGAGGCGCGCGCAGAGCTGATTTTCTACCGGTTTGTTCACAGCGCGCCAGTTAACGTGGTGAAGGCGGCCGTGGGCACGGTGTGCGATGAGCGTCGATGGATGGGAATATCTCGCAAGGGCAACCACCCGATAGTGGGCGGCTGTCGTTTTGCTCCCCCAAGGTGGGAGGGGGAGGGTGAGGGAAGAGGAGGGGGAGAACTAGGAGCAGGATGATCGGGCTCCCACCCCATCTCTACCTCCTGTCCCACCCCTCCTCCCAGTCCTCCCATGCAACGAGGAACGGATGAGAAGCGGGAAGAGATAAAAACGAGGGGAGGAGGGGGAGGTGGAAACCAGGAGGGGGAGAAGTAAGTGTTGGCGCAGATCACGCACGACTTGCGATCTGAGCATTCGCGCATAGGTCATGGTACAATGGTGCCATCCTGAGGTGACTCCCCTATGGATGGGTCCTCGCAATCCATCTGACCCCTCCCAATGGATGAGTGCTATGAGTACCTCCTGAGGCCTGGCCACCACCCTCTACTACACCCTGGACCTTCTTGAAAAAATAGAAAAGAAAAAGAAAAAGAAAAAAAAAAACGAAAGAGAGAAAAAGGAAAAGAGACTTGAGAAACAAATGAAAGAGGGTTTAGTGCAGCGGATAAGTAGGGTCCCCAGTTCAGGGCGTAGGACGCGTACGTTTACCTCCTCTATTTTGACACAGAGGACGCCAAAGGAGAGAAGGAAAAGCAGGGGGAAGTCAAAACCTAAAATGGAGGAAAGCACGCACACACCAGCGCAAAAATTTGAAGAAAGAGAAAAGAAAAGGTGGTTTTAAAGTTAAAAAACTTGCACTCACTCTTTTGTAATGCCTGATGAAGGGTGTGCGACCTTCTGGGCAAAATCTCCTGCAGAGAGAAAAAAACACAAAATTTGACGAAAGTTTTTAAAAGAATTGCATATTCTTCTTCAGTGAGACTCTCTCTCTCTCTCTCTCTCTCTCTCTCTCTCTCTCTCTCTCTCTCTCTCTCTCTCCCCTGCAGAAAAGCTTCCCCTATTAGGGTGGAGCTGGATTAACGACATGACAGAGTTGGCACAGTAAAACGACTAACGTCACGACATTAGTGTTTTTTTTTTTTTTTTTTTTTAAACACGACATTAGTCATTTAAAATTTCAAACTCATTTTAAGAAATGCAGAAAATCAGAGATTATCAGATCATTGTGTCATACGGCAAGTCACCATCGAAAATGCAGAAGATCAGACACTCTGTGTGTCATGAAGTAGTTGCTCCCCCAAATGAAAGAGAAAGTTTGGCCATAAGGCCAAGTTTACCTTTCCCAAAACTGCAAAACGCCGCACCGAATGGGAAAGCATTTGCGTAAATAGGGATGATGATGGTTCTCTGTGGTGGCTGCAATGGTTCGTTAACTTTGTTAAAGTTTGTTTCCATCAGCTCCATGCCATCCTCTCAGGGTCTGATCCCTTCAAGCACCACCAGAGAAAGTCTTTGACAAAACTGCAGAAAACCAAACGGACGTGACTCGGGAGAAATTCCCCTGAACAGAGACGACGGCTATCTGTTGCGGACCTGCGGTCCCATTGATTACGAGTTTCGCTGGTCTTGTGTCTGCAATGGGGTCTGTTTCCATCAGCCCCATCCCATCCTCAGGGTCTGATCCCTTAAAGATACCAGTTTTCATCCCAGCCTGAGCAGCCTCTGAAAAATTGCCCACTGATAAAAAAAAACAGAGGGCCACAGAAAAGTTCGGAGTGGCTGTTGCAAAAAAAAGGCTGGCCACGCCAGCCAATCGCACACCCCGACCACGACGGCTGGGATTTCTAAAGGGCGGGCCAGAAGTCCACTCTGGGAAAAGGAGGGAGGCTGGGAACAACTGGTGATCGAGTCCTTTCAAGAATTGTGGACAACCTCCAGCCATCAAAATCAGAGTGGCGCAGTGGAAGCGTGGTGGGCCCATAACCCACAGGTCCGAGGATCGAAACCTCGCTCTGATATAGCCAACAAAAGGGGGTGTAGCTCAAATGGTAGAGCGATCGCTTTGCATGCGATAGGCAGCGGGATCGATGCCCGTCACCTCCACTCAGTACACATCTTCCTGTTTATCTACTTACATACATGCGATCTGAATCCCTTTTCTTTTTTTTTTCCCCTCCTGCCTATCATGCATACATTACCTGTTTACCTACATACATACATGCAGTCTGAATCCCTCTTCTTCTTTTTTCTTCGACCCCCCCCAACCTCCCTCCCCCCCGCCCCCAGATCCTAATGAAATCAGGTGGGTTTTGGAACAAGCAAGAGAAACAGGTGTGTATGTCAGCAGAGATGATGACACGTCAATGCTCATCACATCAGCTAAGTATCTGTGTCTGACTGTTCACCTACTGATATGGACAGATCACGATTTCGAATCCCAACGGAATGACATGGGAACGTTTTGAAAGGCAATGTTGGTCTAGTTGAGTCAGATGGACATGGGCCTTGCTCAGAATTGGGCAAGTAGAGGGGGTGTAGCTCAAATGGTAGAGCGATCGCTTTGCATGCGATAGGTAGCGGGATCGATGCCCGTCACCTCCACTCCATATTTGGCTGTTCACCTAATCATGTAATGGTGTTGTCAATCCTGCTAAACCAGATGGAACTATTTTGAAGGATGTTTCTGCCCAACTTTCCAAGCAATCCCAACTTCCTGACAATCACTCCTTACAGAATCCAGCCTTCAGCCATGGCTCCTCGTTAGTTCGGCGTTCAAAATTCATTGTCTTTGCTGTCTGCAACAGATTGCTGCTTCCATGTCCTTTGTTAGAGCTCTCTCTCTCTCTCTCTCTCTCTCTCTCTCTCTCTCTCTCTCTCTCTCTCTCTCTCTGTGTGTGTGTGTGTGTGTGTGTGTGTCTGTGTGTATCCGACCCGAGAAAATATGTAGGTTTGATGTGTCTAGACTCGCTTGGTTATAAATATAGTCCATGTCCACAATTCCAGCTGCACATCAAGCTTGTATGAGGAAGGGACAGGCTTGACTGGTTCTATGCTCGTGCTAAGAAAGCATAAACCTGGTTATGTTCATCCTCTCCAAGCACAAACATAACACCCGCCGCACCTGGTCCTAAGACTCCTAACAATACTGCAGTGAGGCATTGTCTGAACTTTTCTCTCTATTTGCAAACTTTCCAAGTTCGTATGCTTAGGGTTTACCAGGCCCGATGTGCCGTTCCGCCTCTTTTTCAAAAGTTCCCGGAATCAGGCTTCTTCATCCAAATAAGAGGGGTGCATGAACCCCCCCCATCAGCTGACAGTTTGGCCGAGTGGTCTAAGGCGTTGGATTTAGGCTCCAATCCGAAAGGGCGTGGGTTCAAATCCCACAGCTGTCAAAATTCCCTTTTCAACACAAAAAGTTTTGCAGGGCTTGTGGGCTACCGTCTTCACCCGAATAGAATGACCGGTAATTATTGCCGTATCTGGCCTGAAAGTTGTGCCAAATACAGCTATAATGACCGGGTGACCGGTAATTATTGCCGTATCTGGCCTGAAAGTTGTGCCAAATACAGCTATAATGACCGGGCGTTCTATTCGGGCGAAGACGGTAGCCCTGGCAGTCGGGCCCTGGTGGCGCTATATTTGCGCTGAGAGAACAAAGGGGTCTATAAAGATGAGCAGAGGTCATCATCATAAGCCGACAGTTTGGCCGAGTGGTCTAAGGCGTTGGATTTAGGCTCCAATCCGAAAGGGCGTGGGTTCAAATCCCACAGCTGTCAAAGTTCTATTTTGAAGTTTCCAATTTTTGATACAGCAGTTTCCCTTGGCTTGTTGGATATCCTTGGCAGTTGAGAGGCTTAGGGCAAAGTCACAATAGCACCTTCCTAAATGTGTTTGATGGCTATAGTTCAAACCATCGCCAAACAATCGCCAATGTACGCCCAGGTGTGTGTTGACCAGGTTCATCAGCTCTCAGAGCAAAGACATGACACCACCTCAACAAGACTGGATCAGGGAGAGTAGACAAAGAGGAAGCAAATACAACAGAGATCGAACACATGGCACGCCCATGACACGAACCAGCTCACGATCTCAGGATCGCCATAGGAGAGAAGTACAAGCCGGGCAATCAGCGCACTGATAATAATCGTGTAAACAGTGTCGTCCCTGCGAAGATCAATCGTGTTCACCATACGATCCTAGCATGGTTTCCTGAGAAGACGCAATCACATTCACGATGCGATGCTGGTGTGGTCCCCACACAGAGTTGCAATCACCGGCCGGTCGCGATATCTGATGGCTAAGCCCTGGCTGGTGAGAGACTTAGGGCAAACTCACATGAGCACTTTCCTAAATTTATCGGGCAGCCAGACCTGTATGCACCTGACTACATTCACGACCAGAGCTGAGTTCAAAAATCCTAGTCCTTAGAGCCAGCCAGGCCCCACTGGAGCTATATTTGTGTTTGGAGAACACACACCTGGCCATAAAAGTGGGAGGATTAGTGCTGGCATAGCACAAACATAGCATCACTGTGGGCGGCCCTTACGATACCCGGTCGCATTTACATATCCTATACAACTCATTCCGGGCATCATCACACACGAGCCCGAGATGCTTCTTTTTCGCAGCTAGCAAAGCACATAGAAGATTTAAATCATTTTTTTCAAAAAAAAAATTCTTAGCGCATAGAAGATTACTGCGGCTTTGTTGGCTGATCTGACAACAATCCCAATATGTTTATCCTCTCCCTACCTTTCACATGCATCACCCCAGCACTTCATTTAATTTTTCTTTTTCGTGTAGTGAAAAACTGGACAGCATGCACCTTATGGCTATGGCTCCTTTCCATGCCCTACCTTTTCACATGCATCACCCCAGCACTTCATGTAACTTTTCTTTTTCGTGTAGTGAACAACTGGACAACATGCACCTTATGGCTATGGCTCCTTTCCATTCTTGGAGCATCAACCTGGCTCCTGTTCCACTTCTTACAAGTCTAGAGAAAAAAACATATTCGATAAGAAATGCAGTGGGGACGTGATAGGTCATGCCATGGCACGTGGATGCTCCTGCCTGTTATGGCTGAGAGGCCCTCTGCCCGATATAAAAATGTTCTTACACTGTTAATTTGAATCTGCATCCGTCTACAAACGGTCTACACAAGGGGGGGGGGGGACACCCACCCTGTCCTAGACGGAGCTGACAGTGATCCTGGGAACCTGGAAATGGCCACATGAGTCTTCCACCAACTGCTCATGACTAAAAGTCTGCTAGTAGACGGTTACGGTTCACCGAAAATGACCTATAATGGTGACGCTTTACAAATCTTCAAAATGGGGGGATCATTACTGCAGAGGAGCTCACCCAGAAAATGCTATTTCCCATCTCTTGTGGGCCTTGTGGGGTCTGGGGACGTGAAGGTAGGAGAGGGGGAAGAGTGAGACACAGGGAGAGGGTCATGAGGCGGTGATGATGGGATGATAGAGAGAGAGAGAGGGGCTAGGGGACGCAGCAACGGAGTGTGCTGATTACTGAATCTACTGATGTATGTTGACTGATGAAGAGGGAAAAAAAGAACAGGAAGAAGAGAGAAGAAAAAGAAGAAAGAAGAGACAAGACAAACAAGAAGAAAGAAGAAAAGAGAACAAAAAGAAACACGAAGATGACGAGGAAGACGTGGACGGCATGGAAGAAGAGGAGGTGGAGGGAAGGAAGGAGGAGGAAGAGTAGGAAAACAATCAAGAAGACTAAGAAGAGGTGGACGGCCATGGAAGAAGAAGAAGACGACGAGGGAGAGGACGAAGAAGACAAAGAAGAGGAAGAACAGGAAGAAGAGGAAGAGGAAAAGGAAGAGGAGGACGAAGACGAGGGCGAAGAAGAGGTGGACGGCGTGGAAAAAGAGGATGAAGAAGAGGAGGACGATGACGGAAAGGATGAAGAAGACAAAGAAGAGGAAGAACATGATGAAGAGGAAGAAGAAAATGAAGATGAAGAGGAAAAGGAAGAGGAAGAGGAAGAGGAAAAGGAAGATGAAGAGGACAACGACGAGGAAGACAGCGACGAAGAAAAGGAAGAAAAGGGGAGGAAAGAGAAGAGGAAGGAGACGAGAGAAAGAAAAGAAGAGAGGGATAAGGACAGAAGAGGAGGGGTTACATGAAAGATGGCGGGGGGAGGAGATGGAGAGAGAGGGAGGAAGAGAGGGAGTAAGAGGGGGAGGGAGGGAGGGAGGCAGGGAGGACGAGAGGGAGGGATATGCACATGATGGGCTTAATTGCAATAGGAGATTGACATTAAGGAGGGACCGATGTAAGTCATAGAGGAATAGAGGTTCTTTTACTAACCATCGTTGGTTACAAGTAGTAGACCGGTTGTAGCAACATCCAGCCTACCAACAGTGAAGAAGCGTGGCTTTGGCACTCCTGGATTTTTCTTCCTCTGCCAGCACAAATAGATGCATCAGCCCCATACCACCAGATTCATCATGCATGAGGTAAGCAATCAAATCGACACTTTGTCATTTTGCTGTTTTTCGATCTCCTGCCTCTTTGTCAGTCATTCTGCTGTTTTTCGTTCTCCTGCCTCTTCCCCCTCCCCAATCCCAATCCCAATCCCAAACACTTTGTACCTTTGCCGCATTCCCTCACCTCTTCAACCTTTTCCATCCCCTACCACGTTTCAGTGCGAGAGGTCACTACACACCAGAGTCCGGCATCCTTGCCAGCCAGCTACCACATGCCTTGGAATAATAGAAAGAGGATCAGACAGAAAAATCAAGGGCGGGAGGAGGGCGGGGGGGGGGGCAGGGGGGGGGACAGAAAAGGATAGCGCAGGCATTGCTTCCTGATACCAGAACCACAAGTTGCACCACAAGGGCATCAATTATAGGAGCAACACAACACTAAAATAAGAATGATGCTGTGTGATATCGCAACATTTGCTGACATCATATTTCAGGATATTCCACAGGCTTCAGTCTTGATGATGGTTACCAATGCGCAAGGAACATGAATGGAGATAAGGGTTCAAACTTAGAAGAATTTCACACTGATTTGATTCTCCTTTAAGTTCCACCTCCTCTTCCACCTCCTCGATTGTATTCCTCCCTCCTCTTTCTCCTCCTCTCCTTTCCTTCTCCTTTTCTTCTCCTTTCGTTCTCCTGCTGCTGCTGCTCTTCCCCTTCCTCTAATGTTGATTCTACTCCTCCTGTGGCTGTTAAATGCTGCCACTGCTCGGCTCCTCCTCCCGTTTCTTCGCTGTTGATTCCTCCTGCTCCTCCTCCTCCTCCTCCTCCTCCTACTACTACTACTACTACTACTACTACTACTACTGCTGCTGCTGCTGCTGCTGCTGCTCCTACTCTTACTACTCCTCCTACTCCTACTCCTCCCCAGCCCTCTTCCCTTCCTTCTCCTCCTGCTATTGCTGCTATTGCTGCTGCTGCTGCTGCTGCTGCTGCTCTGCTCTTCCCCCTGTTTGTCTGCTGATTATTGTCCTCCTCAGCCTCCTCAATTGTCCTCCTTCTTCTCCTCCTCTTCCTCCTCCTCCTCCTCCTCCTCTCCTATCCTCCTGCTGCTGTTGCTGCTGCTGCTGCGCTTCTCGTTTCTCTGATGTTGATTCTCCTCCTCTCCTCCTCTCCTCCTCTCCTCCTGCTCCTCCTGCTCCTCCTGCATCTGTTGCTATTGGCACAGGTCTGCTCCCCTCTCTTTTCTCTGCTGTTGGTTCTCCTTCTCCTCCTCCGTCTGCTCCTCAGCCCCCTCTCCTTCCTTCTCCTCCTGCTATTGCTGCTGCTGCTGCTTCTGCTGCTGCTTCTCTGCTCTTCTCCCCTTTCATCTGCTGTTGATTGTCCTCCTTCTCCTCCTCCTCCCCCTCCTTTTCCTCTGCGCTCTACTATCCTGTCCTTCTCCTGCTGTTGCTGCTGCTGCTCCTCCTCCCATTGCTCTGTTTTTGCGTCTCCTCGTCCTCCGCCTGCTCCGGCTGTTGCTGTTGCTCTGCTCCTCCTCTCCTTCCTCTGCTGTCGATTCTCCCGTCACCACCACCTTTCTCCTCCTCCCTCCTCGCCTCCTCTTCATGTGCTCCTGGTCTGTGTTCATCCTCCTTACCTTCTCCTCGCAGTGACAGGACATGCACAAAAACAACTCTGCATCGATGGTCCGGTTAACTTGCTGAAACCATTTGCCAACGCCATCAGATAAACCAAGCTCTATTGGAATTTGGTCACACTTCAGACATGTTCCGGTCTCCTCTCGGACGCTCCCTTCACGTGACCAAAGAGAGAGACACAAGGAAAGAAGGGTGAGAGAAACCAGCGTAGAATATGAAGTATTATGAACCACCAGTTTTGAGACAAACGCAGTGGTACTTGAACTATTTCTGACAAGGCGGGCAATCAACGATTCCTTCCGACGATCCTTTCAGCGGAACCGGTCTAGCCATCAAGTCTAGTGTGCCTGCCTTGTTTTAGCGATCACCTTCATCCACTACCGTCTTCACCCGAATAGAACGCCCGGTCATTATTGCTGTATTTAGACTGGAAGTTGTCCCAAATACAGCTATAACGACCGGGCATTCTATTCGGGTGAAGACGGTAGTGATTACCTTCATCTTCCATAGCACTTGCCTTCAGTTCATTTGGATCTTACATCCACACTCGGCTTCCTGCATCCAATTGCTTCTCCTTACCCAGTTTCCTTGTTTGTGTGGGGAGTGACAGAGGGAAAGGAATGGTGAAGAGCTTGTGGGGGGGAAGAAGAAAGGGACTGAAGGAAAAAGGAGCGATTTATACCCATTCATCCATGAAGTCTTCAAACAAATCCACGACCAGCCTCTTGCCACCCTCTGCATTTGAGCAAATGTACCTGAGAGGGAGAAACAACACACAAGGCCCCAACAAAACACGCACATGAGAGTCTCTCTCTCGTACTCACAAACATGGGGTGTGAACCGACAGTCTGTAGAGTTTTCCATCTGGTGTGGATGAGTGATAGTCTACTTTGATTTTGGTTAAGGTAGATTATCATTTACAGTGTAATCAGTGAGGGGATTCTGCAGACTGTTGAGGGTTCAGCCTCCTGATGAGT